AATAAAATACAAGATGTCACTTTAAACATCAAAAAGCTTAAAATGGAAGTGGGCAGGGCCTTGGACAAAGGTAGAGCACATGATGAAAGGGAAAGAAAAGTGGATTAAAATAGTTACTCAAAAGAACCCCAGTGAAGGCAAAAGGAAAAGGACAAGTAGCTAGGAAAACTTGGTGTAGGGTAGCTGGCCACGAACAAAGATCAAAGTGGAAAAGGTTGGAGGCCAAAATCAAATAAATTTCTGGTAAATTTTATATTAATATAAAAAAAAACGAGAAATAGTCTACTCACATGCGATCTTGGTGGGTCCGACGGCGTAGACGGAGGCGGCGCGCGGCTTGTGTGTCACCAGCGCCAGCTCACCGAAGTACCCGCCCTTGCCTAAAACAAACAACAGTGTTAACTTGGAGAAGAGAATCAAGAGATTGAAAATTTGGCAGGCATCGATCGGAGGATCGGTAGCTCAGCGGCAGAGCGGTAGGGCGTTGACCCATGCGACCCGGGTTCGAGTCCCGGTCAATGCATTATTCAATTTCTTATTTCATGTTAAGTTTACGATACAAACATTTAGTTTATTGTGTGTGGTAGCAGGTATAGTTACTCTGCCATCCCTGGTCCGCTCAAAATTTTTCAAGTGTTAGTTTTATGTTTTAATATCAACCTTAGGCTGAATATCTACCTCGTTTGTCAAGTGCATGTTAGCGTTTAGTCATGTCGCCGACACACAAACTCGCCTGCCGGAGATAAGGGACAACCTTCCCCAGCAAACATAGGTCGAAATATTTTAAAAAAATTGGACCCTCCCATACAGTTAAAATCAGACCTGTGTCCCTTGGGAAAAGCTGTTCCTTATTACTACTACTACTAGTAAAATTTCATTTAATAGCGCGAGCGGGCGAGCCTACCCTGTAGCCGCCACTGACAATCACAATGTCGCGAGCGCAACAGCACAGTGAATTTATGGCTTCGCTATTGTGAGCAAGCGTACTCTTTGCACATTATCCCTACAAACTCGGAACCTAGGAACTAGATACCCTGGATTACATACCTAGGCGCTTGATCTCGTGCTCGTTGCCGTCGTCCCTGGTGATGCGGATGGACACGGAGCCGTCCTCCACGAAGTACATCCCGTCTGCTGTGTCGCCCTGGCGGATGATCATCTCCTGTCTACTGGGAGTAACAGAAAGGGTATAACAAGCCGAAAGGAGGTCAAGGTACTCATGAAACTGAATAACTTTCCCCATGGAACATAGGTCGAAATATGAAAAAATAATTTGGGACTCCCATAGTAAAACAATTAGCTGATCGGCAATTTTGTATGGGAGATCCAATTTTTTTTTTCATATTTCGACTTATGTTCCATAGGGAAAGTTGTTCAGTTTCATGAGTACCTTGACCTCCTTTCAGCTTGTTATACCCTTTCTGTCACTCCCGGTATATGTGTGAGGGAGACAGACATACCTAGGCGCTTGATCTCGTGCTCGTTGCCGTCGTCCCTGGTGATGCGGATGGACACGGAGCCGTCCTCCACGAAGTACATCCCGTCGGCCGTGTCGCCCTGGCGGATGATCATCTCCTGTCTATATGTGTGAGGGAGACAGACATACCTAGGCGCTTGATCTCGTGCTCGTTGCCGTCGTCCCTGGTGATGCGGATGGACACGGAGCCGTCCTCCACGAAGTACATCCCATCGGCGGTGTCTCCCTGGCGGATGATCATCTCGCCGTCCATCAGGGAGCGCGGGATGAGAGCGTCGGCCAGGTTGGCGCGCTCGTACGCCTGGAGACAACAAGATAAGAAGGTTATACAGATGTCCCTGTTTAAGTGGCCAAAATAATATAGATTCTGGACACCTACCTCTTAGCTACCTCTACTACCTAGTCTCAGAATATTGTTTTTTTTAATATTCGAAGATTTTTTAACTCTTCATACAAAAAATCTATCAGTCAGCGTTATTAGTATGGGAGGTCCCAATTTTTTCTTCAAATATTAAAAAACTAGATCTTAAATTTGATGACCATGATAAAAAACAATATTCTAAATTGGTAGCCAAACTAGCCAAGGATGTCTAGAATCTAGATTTTTAGGCTGTAAATCTAGAAATATCTCATGATATGAGACAGAACATTTTTTAAAGTAAATAAGCTAAATAAAAAGGTCAGTCCAGTACAAAATAATTGGCCGACATAAAAAAATATATTTTGAGTTAAGTAAACATTTAACTTTTATTTAGATTACATACTTAAATAGATACTTATGTAAACACGTAATGCTGTAACAAAGGCTATACGCTTTATTATTCGAAACATACATCATACGTCAACATACTAATTTCGTATTCGATTCGGTCCTCTGATAGAAAACAGTACGCAATCTTTCCGTGAACAGAATATTGAGCCCGTAGGCATGGAAATCGCATCTTTAGCCGATGAGCTGACAGCCTGTCTCTTATAGTGGAACACGGTTTAAAAAAAATGGAACAAACAAACATCTACGCTCTGCCTACCCCGCAAGGGAAATTGGCTTGATATATGTATGTATATTTGACAGACGTGACGATAACGACCGTTTTTTGCGATCATTATTTTTGCGTTTTTTGTCTCTGCCCTTTAAAAAAAGTGGGAAAAATTATAATCTAGCGGTTTTTGTAATTTCAGGGTGACATGTATGCTTTAGTGATATAGTGACGAGATGGACAGACAATCTGGTCAAGTCCGCGGGGAAATGCTGGATGCAGACCGCTTCTAATCGAACAAGGTGGAAATATTTAGGGGAGGCCTATGTTCAGCAGTGGACGTCCTATGGCTGATATGATTATGATGATGATATAGTGACTGTTGCAAATCATTAAAAGGTAACGTTATTGTTATTACTTATGTATTTTTCATGGAGGAATGCCAAATATCCCCAACCGTTATTTTCAATAATGATTTCACTAAAGAAGAATGTACATTGTCATACAACAAATGCCTTTCGTAATGGTTAACGTAGCGCGAAATTGTGAATTACACACTCAATCAATGGATTAGATAATTATGAACGGATATTTGAGTAAACTAACTAGGCCTTCTTTTTACTCGACTGCCCTAGGAGGAGGGCTATGTTCTTAGGCGCTATCTCCACTGGTGAGACAGAAGAAGATGGTGTGACAGTGTGAAACAGAAGAATACACAGTCTACAACCGTGAGACGCGCGACTTATCGCTGAAGACGGCCGACGCCTACTTGTCACACAGTTGTCATCTTACGTCTCCGAGTGTAGATAGCGCCTAATAAAAGACACTAAACATTGTGTCGTTAGATTTGTTTCAGCAGCGTGAGTGATACTGGAATAAAATAGCGGGATTTCAAGTTTAAACACTAAATTCAGTTAAAGCAGACCGAATGTTTTTTTAAATAAATTCTGCCTAAACAGTGTCATAAAATTCCACAGATATTTAGTCGAGCAAGAGCTTCAAACTGCCCTCGACAGGTTTTCATGGCACGAACACAAACTAAAACTACAAAGGACTGTATTGTTTTGATTGGCAGCCGTCGGCCGATAACATGACGATTGTGAACTCTTCAGTTTCAGGCCAGATAAAATAAGGCTGTTGGTTAGTAGTCAAAACGAGCTATTTTTTAAAACGTCCTTTTAGTTTGAAAACTATGTATTTTGATGTATGGGGCTGAAAATGCATTTTTCAATTCTAATTCTGCTATTATTTTTTAGGTCGTGGTTATAGTTAGATATAACTGGCGCAGGCAGATAAAGACCATATCCCGCATTAGCAAATTATTGTTTATCATATAGTCTTTGATTGTATGACATTTGAGCAGGATGTGAACAATAATTCGCCGTGTGATGCCGGCTTAGAATAGCATCACCACAATTCTACCCGTGGGTGTCGTAAAAAGCGACTAAGGGATACTTATCCAGGGAATGGGCAGCAGCGTTCCCCGTCAAGTCAGTGCAACATCATGCACAGCCCTCGCCAATCCGCCTACCAAGCGTGGTGGTGAGTATGGCAATACCCCCAGATAGGGGGACGCCCATGTCCAGCAGTAGACTGTTGTGGCTGTTATGGTGGTGGTGAACAATAATGTTGCCAATTTGGGATATGTTCTCTATCTGCGCCAGTTATACACAATTTCAGTATTTTTATTAACTACCTACTCAGAGAAACAATTCAACTATTATTTTAGCGATGGTGGGTGTGTCATCGCAAATCGCAATTAATTAAACTTTTCATGGCCATTCCACAATCGCATTAAAATTGCGACTAACGTAAAAACTAGCGCTTTTTATGATTTTAGTCATAAGTCCATTTAACTGAGTAAGTGCAATATTTTACGATTGTTTGCATTACTCTCGATCTCGAAGTACCTACTTGTATAATTTATGAAAGAAATTACGTCTTTCACATAAACGACAGCTATAACGTTTTTTATTTGGTTTTCTTATCTGAGCAATGACTAGTCTTCGAGTTAGACTGCATTTTAACAAAAATTAAACCGCTTTCTCTGTGAAATTAGTTGTAACTTTTATTCGCAATTTAAATCGGTCAAGAAGTGTTTTCGAAGTATCTTTTGGTTTGGCTTTTGGTGTGTGGCAATACCCCCCGAAAGGGGGAGGCCCATGTCTAGCAGTGGACTGTGGCTGGTAGTCGTTTAGCATATTTTTTTTATAGGATATTTACTTATTTAAGGTGTACCTACAACAATTAAGAATAAATGCTCAGTTTTCAAGCTAAAATAAAATATGTTCTTATAAAAGCAGATATCAAAGATCGCCAGCAACCTGTTCCATGGAAATACGAACAATGTATAAAAACAATAGATTATCGTTCTCATCTCCGTGAATTCTATAATTGTTTCACAAACTGTTATTAACCATCCTGTATCTATTATATTGACGGTTTCAAAACGCTTCAACAATTCCATAGGTAGAGATAGGTACGCAAGGGTTAAGGTTTGTTGATTGATTACTTGTGATATCGGGTTTACGCCTATCTACCTTTTCCCAAAATGCTTCGAGTCAAGCCATCCCTACATTTGACTCAGCTGTCGTAGATTCAGATGGTTGGCTCTAAAGAGATCTGATACTTTCATATAGTGTAAGCTAACCCATTTTGCTCTAGCCGCGGCAGTTTTCATGAAAATATTTTCGTTGGATTCTAATTACAGTTTGAAAACAAACACAAAATGGTCTCAAATTTGCGAATCAATAAATCTTCATCGTTTTCCTTTTGATATTGGCCGCCTGTCGACCTTTCTTTGAGCACCGTTTCTCTTGTTTAAGCCGTCGGGTCGAGACCTTCAAATTGACGTAATGCGTAAAGCTACATTTAACGATATCGACATTGAAACAAGTTTAACATGTAAATATCAATTATCGCTAGGTATGAAAACAAAAGTATGATTTGTAAAGATATGAAGCCCTTGAGATGGATTTATACTAATTCATTTTAAAAGAACTTTATTTTTTTTCTCTCGTACAACAAACGTTATTAATACGCCATTTTTATACACAAAGTAAAGGCAGC